GTCTGCTTCTAATGGACAGTCACCTCCAGAGGACCACATTTTCTGTCCTTAAATGACAAAGAAGCAAGTGAAGTCCACTTTTTAATGTTATACCTCAACACTGCAAAGTTGAATTCCAGTGATTCACATTCTGTTGCAGGAAGAAGAACTACTTCCAATTAGTAGGATTAACTATGCAATTACATTATCGAAATAAACCCATGTAATAGAGATTCTTTGTCATCTCCTCCTCCTTTGAATGATTCGGAAAGACACCGAATCATTCAAAGCAAGAGATTTCAGTATTAGCATCAAGTAAATTGTACAACACAGAAACCAACCGCTAGGAAGAAAAATCTAAAAAGAAAGATTGTCCAACAGTGAGCAACCTTTCCAGGCTAGGGTCTGCCTTTCTATGTGGCTAAACTTCCAGGGCCCAAGAGTGAGGATCAGCATCCTTTGCTCTTCCACATCCTGCCCATTCATACACATTCACTCATGTAGGTGGCATGCTCCCCCACACCAATACACATACACTTAGACGCACACATTCAAAAACACCCATTCTGACATGCAGCATACAGACAGAAAAAAGCAGAGATGCCCTATGTGGCTCATTCAAAAAAAACTTTTCAATATTATGTACCTGAGCATCACAAGGCTTCCCCCCTCCCCCAAGCTGTATTGCCTCATGGGGAGGGTGATTTTCTGGAGCTGGTGGGTCACAGCACCTGGGAAGGTGAGGTTAACCCTCCTCTCACCAGCTGTAAACCAGTCCCTACCAACCGTTTTAAAAACTGGCAGCAATGGGATCTTTCTTGAAAGCCAGAATGCTGCGTGGGGAACAGGGCAAGAATGGGATGCAACAGGTGAGACAGTGAGCCCCACAGCCTGCACCTAGCCCATGGGTTGTTGGTTTCCCACTTCTAATCTAGACAGAGACTTGCTAGAATAAGGGAATCTCTACCCACCACCAAATTCCAAGCATACCTGATGTTCCCTAAGCAGAGAGCAGATGCTCTGCAGAAAGTTGTCTACATTTTAAAAGAAGCAGGTCCAGTCAAGCAAACCATGCTCAGATAAAAGCAGAACATCTTCTGAGTTAACAGTTGATCTGACCAGGGAGGAAATTTGTTGTCCAGACATCGAAGATGATGATTTTTTTTAAGACCCAGATCATATAAGCTATGCTCAGATCATCGAAGTATGAAGAAATGCTTTCTAAAGATATTTTAGGCAATCTAACTACAGGCCACCTATCAGAAATGCAACACCAGAGTTTTTGAAAAGAAATAACCTCACTTCTGTAAATGATTAGCAAAGCTGCAAACTGATTATTCTTTATGGTTGTTAACTACTTAAAAATCAATTTCCTCACACAAAAATGTTTTCTCATGCAAACCAACTGCAAACCTGGTTTGACATCCTGAGTTTGCTGTCGACTTTTGTGCTTCCTATAAAGATACTGGATCTTTCTTGCAGCTGCTTCCATTTCACAGTCAGCTGCTTTATCTCTGCCTGTATTTCACATGGAAAATACAGATGCAAGAGCAACATTAACATGTGGCTTGAGAAAAGAACTGTAAGATCTGTCAAAATGGGAGGATGTTCAGTGGAGAGATTTCAGGGGAGTGGTAAATGTTACATACAGCACTGATGTTACCTGTCTGTCATGGGTTGGAGGGAAAGTTCCATCCTATGGGGAGTGGAAGGCGGGACATCAGGAGGAGGGGCTGTACTGTATATATATGTGGAGCCTGTGTGGTGAAGTTTAGGGAGAGCTGAAGGAGAGCTGAGAGAAGAAGCTGGTGTGGGAGTCTGTGTGTCAGACAGGGTACTACTGTGTGTCAGTCAGTACCAACCTGATAGGTTCAGGTGTCTGTATGGTTAGCCAGAACTGATAGGTTCAGGGTCTGTGCTTTATTTAAAGGTGTTCTGTGTGAACCAAACTGGTGTATGTATGATTGAGACTAAGCCACGTTACTGTATCTTATTCACTTGATCATTTTATTTTCCCTGTGTGTTATTTAAATAAACCTTATTCCTTTGTTTGTCTAAAAATCCATTCCTGGTCTGTGTGACTCTTTACAGGGAATGGTTGGTGGCAGCTTAGTGAAACTGTGGCATATCCCAGTAGGTCTGGGGTTGTCACATTGATTGGTGTCCAGCGTGTGGGATACGACTGGTCCAGTTGTCCAGTGGTCCAGCAAAGCCTTGGCAAGTGTGCCCAGAGCGAGGGGGGTCTAGTCAGGGAAAATCTGAGAGCGCGTAGGTAATCTTCTAGGCTTACCTCACGGGTCTCTACCCACCACCAAATTCCAAGCATACCTGATGTTCCCTAAGCAGAGAGCAGATGCTCTGCAGAAAGTTGTCTACATTTTAAAAGAAGCAGGTCCAGTCAAGCAAACCATGCTCAGATAAAAGCAGAACATCTTCTGAGTTAACAGTTGATCTGACCAGGGAGGAAATTTGTTGTCCAGACATCGAATATGATTATTTTTTTTAAGACCCAGATCATATAAGCTATGCTCAGGTCATCGAAGTATGAAGAAATGCTTTCTAAAGATATTTTAGGCAATCTAACTACAGGCCACCTATCAGAAATGCAACACCAGAGTTTTTGAAAAGAAATAACCTCACTTCTGTAAATGATTAGCAAAGCTGCAAACTGATTATTCTTTATGGTTGTTAACTACTTAAAAATCAATTTCCTCACACAAAAATGTTTTCTCATGCAAACCAACTGCAAACCTGGTTTGACATCCTGAGTTTGCTGTCGACTTTTGTGCTTCCTATAAAGATACTGGATCTTTCTTGCAGCTGCTTCCATTTCACAGTCAGCTGCTTTATCTCTGCCTGTATTTCACATGGAAAATACAGATGCAAGAGCAACATTAACATTTGGCTTGAGAAAAGAACTGTAAGATCTGTCAAAATGGGAGGATGTTCAGTGGAGAGATTTCAGGGGAGTGGTAAACACCACAGAATGCCTTGTGCAGTCTAACAACCAATGGTTGTATAAGTTAGGGCAGTGTCAAAAAAAAAAAGAAACTACAGGAGAAGAAACAAACAGGATGAGATCAGCTTTCTGCTGACAAAAACATCAAAATGCTGGCAAGTTCCAGTCGTTTGCAAACAAGCTCTGGACCCCATCCACTGTTTGCGCTACTGGATGAGAAATGAGATACATCCTTTCCACTAGATTATTTATGAAGGTAAGTGGCTCAGAATACATAAAGGAAATAATTATCTCCATCAGTTATGCTGACTAGAGAGGACAGAGGTGACTGAAGATGCTGTTTATTCTCCTGAAACTAATTCTACAGCATTTTAATCTCCGTGCACAAATAATTATCTAGGGTTCTTCACTCTCAGCTTTTGTCCCCTCCTTAGAACCAAAAAAACAGAGGACTGCATATTTATCACCTTGAGGCCATGGTCGTTTCATTCTTGGACTGAAATGGAGACAGGCTGAAATTGCTGACCAGAAATCAGTGGGTGGGCGGCAAGTTTTGTTCAGCAAGGAACAGAGAGATGGCATGAGGCCCTTGCAACTGCTGCTACTGACTCAGTCGTATGCTCTCTTATCGTGCCTGGAACGTTACAATGCAAAAGTGACACCTGCTGGTTGAGTACAATCTATTCAAAAGATGAAAAGATGGGCCAGAAATTGACAGAATAGCATGAACAGCACGCTGCACAAATCGGATTACTGGGCTTCAAAAAAGGGATGTTATATATTGCCATGTGAGACTTGGCCCTTGTTTCTCTCAGCACAGAACCTGGACAGTATAAAAAGTTTCAGTTTACAAAGAAGTACTGAATAGTCCCTTCTGGTGGTAGTTAGCTATGAGAAGTACAGGCCACTTCTATGCCACAAGGTCAGGATGATGTCATAGCAAAATTGGTCCAGGACCCCCTGGTGTGGTCTTCATCACTTATGGCAGAGGAAGGAGCAGGCTTGTCCTGAAAGCTGCTCTGGACCTGACACCAGTACACAGAAGTGTGTGAAGATAAATATTGTCTAAAAAGGTTCTCAATCTAAGGGACACACTTATCAGACACCACCCAAAATAAGCAGTGTAAAATGGCTGAATTCTAGTGTTACACTAAATCATGATTTATGCCACTCCTGGTGGATTGCTTTAATCGCCAAGTGTTTCACAAGAAATCTAACCATTGTTTGTTTTCCCCATTTCTGTCTCCCATCCCAAACCTCTTTTGTCAGATATTATTTCAGAATGGCAAGCTGAGGAATCAAGTGAGGAGCAAGCCAAAGTGGGAAATTCAGAGAGTGTGACAAGCTAAAGTTTAAACAAGATAGAATTTGTAGGCCAAGAACCATTGGTGGTTTCTAACTCTGATTCAAAGCTGGACAACAAACCATTATTTATGCAGCAGGAATGGTTTTGAGCACACCAATAAACCAGAATTCATAAAACTACCCTCAGATTTACCATTGCCTGTGAACCCAGCCAAAATACACATAGTGTTTATTTTGGGGGTATTAAACAAATTGAGTGCTGTGAGGGGTGAAATGTTTTCCTCACTCTCTGTTTCAGTTCTGAGGCAGAGGAGATCTGTTCTGCATACAACATGGAGTGCCCACAATCCAGAGTAAGAATATTACAGAAATACACTGAACAGATGTTCTAAAAGCATCCTTTTACTGTTGCTCATGTATTTTCAGGCCTCTGTTCTACCTGATTTAACAGGTCCTTAGTTAGGCTAAAATATATTCAGAGGAAATAAATTCAAAAAGGCAAGAGCTTATTCGCTTCTCTTCCCTATTCGCTTTTCTAGATATTCTCAGCTAGCAGGTGAGAAGCAAGGCAGGTTTAAAATACAAAGCTGAGCAGTGCCTGAGACTTGAGTAGCGTATTCCACAACAATCTGCAGTCTAACTGAAATGAGTACTTAAATTTGATCCATGAAATAGATAGCCAATTATAAGACATATGTAACAAGTTAAACATACATTAGGCCATCTACTCTTCATCACTTTAAGGAAAACAACTCACCTTGTTTATCCTCCCCTTCTGAGTCACTCTCCACGTATCCATCGCTTTCATCTTGTTCACTGTCAGAGGCCCGCAACGCTTTCTGTGATGAGTTTTTATTCTTCCTTTCATGGTCTAAATTATCTTTTTCATCATCTGAGGGTGACTTTGACATTCCATTCATTTGATCATCAGCTTGTCCCTCTTCATTAACTTTCTCATCTGATTTCTCTTCATCTGCTTCAAAATCTTCATCGTATGCTGAAATAAAAGGACAACGGTAGTGCAACATCGAAAATAGAATGCAAACTACTTGGAGTTCTCATTAACTTGAGATAGGTTAAGTCCATTAGCTTTTGTTCTCCTTTATATTTGACCCTCCCTTCTTTTCAAAAAAATCAACAAGGTTAAAATGCTGAAACATGAAACTATACAATGATACAATATTGTTAGAAAGTTCTTGTTCTGACTTCTTCACAGTTTATGAAACAGACACAGCCAATTCCTTGCATAACCCATTTCATCTAAATCAAGTATAGCCATGGAGCATGTAGCTCGATGGTTCCAACTTTTGAGTCCCCTGATGTTCTTGGACTACAGCTCCCAGAAATCCTGACCAGCACAACTAGTGGTGAAGGATTGTGGGAGCTTTAGTCCCAAAGCATCAGGGGATCCAGGGTTGGGAAACCACTGATAAAGAGAATATATTTCCAGGTGTAAGAATATTTAACTGGTCTAAGTCCATGCAGATGCTGCAAGATATTGTATGAATAAGAAGTAGAGTCGTGCCCCGCCTTACGATTACCCCGTTTAAAGACGGATCTGCTTGATGACAATGTTTTTGCGATCACAAAACGATGGTTTAAATGGGGAAAATCTGCTTTGCGATGATCGGTTCCCTGCTTCGGGAACTGATTTTTGCTTTACAATGATCAAAAATAGCTGATTATTGGGTTTCAAAATGGCCACCAGGTGTACAAAATGGCTCCCTGCTGTGTTTAGGAGCCATTTTTCGCTTTACAGGCACCCAAAAATGGCCGCCCATATGGAAGATCTTCGCTGGACGGTGAGTTTTCAGCCCATTGGAACGCATTGAACGGTTTTCAATGCATTTCAATGGGTTTTTTTATTTCGCTTTACGACGTTTTCACTCTACAGCGATTTCGCCGGAACGAATTAACATCATTAAGTGAGGCACCACTGTAAGACAAATCTGTTTTTCCAACGACTAAGCACTACCTCTAGGGTGCCCAAAAGAAGAAGTACAGACATCACCAAAGAAAGGGGCATAGAAGACAAGGCTTGCCACTGAAAAAGAGGATATTTTTTTCATTAACTTTGCATTATTAATTAAGATATTATATGCAAATACAGTTACAATCAGGCATAGCTACTGTAATTGATATGGAAATACAATAAAAATCACCAACTGCAGAAGACGGTAACCTGTCCAAGTGACTGATCTACCTCTTTTATGTGCATAAAATGTAGAGCTTGAACATGAGCATCATCCTCCTCCTTCCCAGTCACACTGCTGCTCATAGAAATCAAGCAATGATAGAAGAGGCAGCTTTAGTTGGCCCTCTCAATCTCTGTTGACAATGCTGGATTTCAGAACAACTGAATAGAGTTCTGTCTCCTATACCTCTGGAATCAGTGTGTGCTGCAGCTATGAAGACACAAGGCATGGTACCGCAGTGGGCAGCATGACAATCATCCTTGTGCACATGGTGGTTAACTGATGGATTGTGGTCAAATGCTGGCGGAGGCAGATGAGAGGCCAAAAGGAAGAGTAACAGGAGAACTAGAGAAGCAAGTGGAGTCATGCATGTATGATAATCTCAAGGAAAGCAAAAGAAAAGTTCCCCAAGCTGTGTTGCTATTATTAATGTCACACTTCCTTCTGAGCCCTTCCTCCAGCCTAGACAGACATGCCCCCAGACCAACAGTATGTTAACTGGAGGGCAACAAAGCCAAAATCTGGACGAAGAGCTATCCCACCTTTCACATCAGAGTTTTAAAAGGTAAATCTAAAATTGTTAAGCGCACACTGTCAAAACAGATCCCGTTCTTGTCCCATCTAAACAAAACAAAACAAAACAAAACAAATGTTCTTGTCCCAGCTAAACAAAACAAAACAAAAACCCACTGGATGAATGGAAACATTGCAAGTCAATGCTTATCTACATTTTGTTGATTCAATGGGCCAACTCTAGTTCAGATTAACTTTGGATTCAGGTCAATATCTGACACACACATATGCTAGGAAATGCACATACTGTGCAGATACCAAAGGAACCAAACTGTTATGAGAGCAAAGGCTCATCAAACAAATATACATTCAATGTGCCATATAGATTTGCTCCCACATAATGTGGAGAATCATCTCACATATCTCCTGCAAAATTTAAGTGACATAATCATGGACACCACTGGAAACAAACCAGCCTTCCAAGGACTGAGCTACTTGTTCCCAAGCCCACATTTTCTTTTTTTATACTAATATAAGAGCAGAGAAAACATTTGCAAAGGAAAAACAGTGAGTAAGAGGGAGAACCTGATCCTTCTCCCATTTGCTGATACCCCCCTGCAAATGTCTCCCTTGCACTACTATTCGTTACCTTACAAATTGTGATTTTGGTAACATGCAAAAGAAACATGGTTGTATCCTGAGAAATCCAGTAGCTAGACATAAACCAGTGGTGGGGAACCGAAGGCTCTTGGGCTGAATCTTACCTTCCTGAGACCCTAATCTGGCCCTTTGAGATTCCCCAGAACACTATGCCCTCCCATGAGATCAGTGTTCAGTGGTTCCCAACATTTTCTAGATCTCTGTGTTTGTTTTAAACAGTAGCTACCCTCAGTAGAAGCTTTATGCTAAAATATGCTGGTGTTTTCAGTCTCACGCTTTGGCAGTTGGCCCCCACCTGCCCCAGCAATGCAACTCTGACAACTGATTTGAAACAGAATTTGGCCTTTGGGCAAAAATGTAAGCTGAGGTTCCATGGAAATTGTGGATTTGCACTTGTTTATTCCTGGAGTCTACCCAGGTAACACCTGCTCAGATCTTTATTGATGAACGTATTATTTTCAGACAAATTGACTTCGATGAAAAATGATTTTAAACAACTAAGCTAGCAATTGGAGGGCTTCCTAATTTAGTTGGAAGCTTGGGTACAAGGAGCATTCTAAACATAAACAGAGGCAGCATGCTTCTGTGTATCAGTTGGGCAGAACAGGAAGAGAGAGCTACTATCCTTATGTTCTCCTTCTGGACTTCTTAGAGACACATAGTTGGCAACAGTGGAAGCAAAATGCTGGATACAACAGTTACATAAGGAAAATATATAATAATGAAATCCGTTGGGAACATGATTTCTGTTGCATCACCTCTACACAGCTACTTGTATTGTTCTATTTTAGAAATTTTCAAGGCTAAAAATGATTTACAAAGTTTCTTCTATCCATGGAAGATTTTGATCCATAAGTAAAAGGGCATACAGTATTTAGTTTCAATCCTCTTCTTTGGATCCCACAAACTAATGGAAGATTTTGATCCATAAGTAAAAGGACATATTTAGGTTCAATCCTCTTCTTTGGATCCCACAAACTATCATTTATCCTTTACAACATTGAGGTCTTCATGTGAAAAATAAAAATCATTATTCCAGTTCTGCTAATTATGCACAAATATATGATTTATTTGTATATATTTTCCAACCCATTTCCAAGGGTTACCTACATATCGACTAAGATGTGTAAGACACCCTTAGCATCAACACATCACTATGGAGGGATTAATCATAGCCATAAATTGGAATAGATATAATTGTTCTGTGCATTCAAGGTGGAACCAGCTTATAGCAACCCTAATAGCACTTTCAGTGTGAGATATTTATGAAGTGGTTTTACCAGATCTACTCCCTCAGTGTGTTTCCATTGCTGAACAGAGATTCGAAGCCAGGCCTCCTGGTCCAAGTCCATTACCAAGGTTCCCAGCCTTGTTTCCACTGCTGAACAGGGATTCGAAGCCAGGCCTCCTGGTCCAAGTCCATTATCAAGGTTCCCAGCCTTGGATCCCCAGATGTTTTTGGACTGCAACTCCCAGAAATCCTGGCCAGCACAGCAAGTGGCAAATGCTTCTGGGAATTGCAGTCTAGGAATATCTGGGAACCCCCGTTTGAGAACTACTGCTCTATCCAACACGCCACAGTAGATATTTTGCATATAGACCCTTCTTAAAAACCCCCATTTGAGAACCACTGCTCTATCCAACATGCCACACTAGATATTTTGCATATAGACCCTTCTTAAAATACAATATTTTAGTTGTATCCCATTTTACATCCACCTTACAGAGAGGCAATCAAATGTTATCACAAAAGAGAAGCTGCCACATCTATCGTACACTTTCCATCTCTCTCTTATGGCCACATTTTCTCACTTTTCAAGTTCAGTTGTTCACCTACACTTTTTCTACAGGTTTTTCCCCCTCTATGTTCAAATGACAGAATGCCAAGGAGAAAAGTGAGGAGGGAGGCTGGAAGTCTCATGTGGAACCAATTAAGCAAGTAAAGTATTAGCTGTATAGTGGGTTTTATTTAAGTAGTAAGTAGATTTAATCATATTGATTGAGTTCTGGCTGCATCTGGGATAGCAAGGTCTTCTCCACAGGCAATTATCTGAGACATGTCCAGCTTTGAAAAGGAGATATTAAAACAAAAGAAAGGTGGTAACTTAACAAGAAACCTGCAATAAACTCATATGGAAATTTCAAGAGAATAACATGGAAACAGATAGATTTATACATGAAGTCATGCAAACGCCTCATATTCAGAAATGTGGGGGTGGGGGGAAGCAGGCTCTTGACTTTCACTGCAAGGGGACAATATGACTTACTACTTTCCCAAACCTGTCCAAAAATCTCAGCTCTCCTCAGTTTAATACACTCCAGCTTTATATGCTTTTCAGAGGAAATCATGAAATGAAATTAGAAAGCTGAAAATAATGAATTGATGCCAGAATCTTCACCAAAATGATGCATACTAAGAGTATGGAAAGCAACTGTCTCAGAAACAATGAACTTGCAGAACTGAAATGAAAAGAACATTATTCTTTACTCTTTGTGGTCTTCTCGAGGCAACAACCTATTGCTGGCAAAATTCTGCTGAACAACATATATGTGGTTACTTGCCCTCTACTGACTACAATCTTAGCAGTATTGCATTTTCCCAGGGACACTTGCCATCAAGATCCTCTTATCAGTTTCAAGTCAAGACAGTGTTATTTCATTGTGTATTTATTTTGCAACTTCATTTTCTTCTTAGCTACAAAGGATGGGACTTTGGCGATTACGTGGATGGGAAAAACACAATAGAGACGTTTATTTTTGTGTTCTTTTGTCCATTCCCAATACAGAGCCTCTGATACCTGAAGAATTTGTGTTAAAGGGGGTAACATAAAACTTGTGTTTTCTTTTGTGTTTTCCTCTTTCCTTTACCCTTCCTTCTTTTTTTTAACTGTTTGTGTCTGTTAAATCAGTAGGGGGAAATTTTAATACAATAGCATTGTGAGGGCTGCTGTAGCAGCCAATGAGAATATTCAGGAGTGGGTAGAACAGGAATTCTGAAGGTGTAAAGGGGCCTAGATTGGTTGGAGGAACCCAGTGAGAGCGCTTTGGCACAGTCCTATTCGGCAGCCCAGTCCATTTCTGAGGCTGTGGGTTGAGCTATGGAAACTCAGTCCCGCCTTCTTCCTACTCCACAGGGGTGGGGTGATGCCAGGTTCTTCTTCAAAAGAAAGTGGATGAACAAGCCTACCCCAGCTGCTGTTCCCTCTCTCACTGACTGAGAACATCAATGAAAGGACAATGGAGGGGGGCTGCCCACACTTCCAGAGCTGCCTTGAGACCAAATATGTAGCACCTTCTCCAGAGGCTTGCACGTTATGCATACTCTGCCAGGAGGAGACTGATACTGCTGACATCTCAAGTGCTCAGGTAAAGTTCCCATTAAAGGCCAAGGGAGTGATGTGGAAAAAAATGGGGTCTGAAGGTTAGGAAGTGTGGCCAAATGTTTTGGTTGGAGGGAGTCTTTGGTGGGTTTTGTCATTATTTCCCTTTTTTAAGAGCAGATGGCTTTTATTGCCTACTTTGAATTACACTGGCTCTCTGTTGCCTTGCCCCTGCCTCTTTGTTTTGTTTTTTTATTTTATTTTTTACTAGTGTTTGAGGGTTCTTTAGGGTTTATAGACTACTGGTGGCAGAACAAATGAATGGGGGAAATGAAACAACCTGAAAGACATGAACGCTCTGGAAACAAAAGAAGTACTCCAAAAGAATCAGGATGAAAACAAAATAAACATGAACGTTTTCCTATGCATGTCCCTAAGCTGCTGCATCTTCTTACTCATTTCCTAGTGCAAAATGCGGATGACAAAGCAGGAGGACGACCAGAAATTTCATAATATTGTTATTTTGTAAAATATTTTGTGGCTATTTATGGGTCAAACACCAAGAATATTAGGATAAACTGGTCCTAAATAACATATCCAAAATGGGAACTCATAAATTATGTTTAGCTATTTGCTGTGACTAAACAGTAGTAAATTGATGGGCAATTAATTAATGGCACTATATAAATGACACTTAAGCCCCTTGAATATTTGCATCCTATTAAATGAGACCACACATCTCTGTGTGTGTACATGCATATGTACTTTTGGATGTACAGTGGTGCCTCGCTTAATGGGCGCCCGTTTAACGACGAAATCGCATAGCGATTAACTTTTTGCGATCGCTTTGTGATGTTCCCTATGGGGAAAAATCCCTTTGCGATGATCGGTACCCTGTTTCGCTTACCGATCATCGCAAAGCGATGATTTTTTAAACAGCTGATTGGCGGTTCCAAAATGGCCGTCGGGTTAAAAAAAATGGCCGCCAGCTGTTTTCTGGGACGGATTCCTCGCTTACCAGGCAGCGAAAATGGCCACCATATGGAGGATTTTTGCTTAAAGGTGAGTCTGAAGCCCATAGGAACGCATTGAAGGGGTTTCAATGCATTCCTATGGGCTTTTTACTATCACATAGAAACGAAATCGCTTTGCAGCGATTTTTGCTGCACCGATTATCGTCGCTATGCGAGGCACCACTGTAGATGTATTTGAATATGAAAAAAATCTTGGATTTCCCCCATAATCACCCTGGAAAATCTATTATTTATTTCTTTATTGAAAACATTTTCACCCCACGTTTCTTCTTAAAAAGACTCAAGGCAGGTTACATGATTAAAAGACAATATAAAAGCTAACACCAATGAGTATACAAATGCTAAAAAGGATCAAACAAATGCCATACAAAAACCCTAACAAGAAGACATGTTCAAAGCAGTAAGGTACAACTACTGGGTAAGACCAGTGACCCAGCTAGCCCACTCATGCTTACTCTGACTGGCAGCAATTCTCTGACATGGCAAGCAAAGAAAGGATTTTTCTATCCTCACAGGGATATTTCTACACAACTGTTGATGCCTGAGATTGATCTCAGTTCTAGAGCCTTCTACATGCTGATCATACTGAGATACAGTTTTTCTCCTCCCACGCTCTACCATCATTACCTCCACTTCTCTGGTCCTTGTCACTTCCATTACTGGTTTCGTGTGTGTCTCCTCTTCTTGTCTCCCATTCCATTTCCTCAGTACCTTCCACATGTTCTTTCTCTTCTTCAGCAGCTGATGAAAACCGTGACTGTGAATCTTTGTTATCCTTCTTGCTGCTGCTGCTGCTGCTGCTGCATTCACCTAGCCCCTCTTTCCCTTTGTCTTTCTCAGAGTCTTCTTTCTTTGCTTCATCTTCGTCAGCCACTTTTTTCTTGGGAGGAGAAGGCTTTTTATCCAGACCCATTGCAATGATACACCTGCCCAAAAGGCAATAAATACACAATACAATTTGGGAGACTGCAAAAATGGATCATAGGTACTAGTAAAATATGATGCATGTGTTTCCCTGGGACTAGATTATGTAAAAATAAAAAATAAAAAAACACCCTGAGAGATAACATTTAGTTATCTCTTAATTTCCCAAACTTGCAGAAAAGGGAAAAAAAACAATAACAGCAGCAGCAACAACAACAACAGCTCTAGAACTGGACCACAAAAATCACTATTTAAAAAAAATAGAGAAGTTTCAGCTTTTCGATTGTCCTACAGTCTTATGTGATTCCTCTGCAAAATTACATCATGAACATTTCCAGCTGTCAACTCCGCCCAATTTTGTAATGGGAATGTGATACATGCTCTTTATTTTAAAGGAATTTAGCTAAATCTAATGTTTTATTCTTTATGGAATTTCATTGTGGCAGTTTATGTACACTGTACATATACTATGGACTACGTGTGGATTCATAATGCACTAACGAGGACAGAGCCTTTAAAGGATTTCTAGCAGAGATTGGAAAAGTTATTCACTGATGTTTTGAGTATAGTTCCCAGAATTCCACCACCAGTATATAAATTGCTATGCTGTTTAACTGTACTCCAAAAAACTAATATTTGCCATGTCTGAGAAGAGGGCTCTTCTTAAAGACAAATAACCTGAATTCTCAAAACAGAGAAGAAGAAAAGGAAACATATCCCACATGCATACATGTATCAAACTCTGTTTTATACATATTTTTGTGAAATGGAGTAGTCCAATTTATTTCACTGTGCACCACTTTAAGTCTCTAATTATGCCATGAAAAACTCAGAAGAGGCAATCCTTCGAAGGCAGCTACAGATTATGATTTTGTGTGCAATGTTCATCTGTGCAGATTTGCCAGAGTTTGGAACAATTACAGCCCAACAGCGTCAACTGCCCATCCTCAACACTGGACAAGGGGTGGATGGCTACCTTGTGATGAGTTCCTAATTAAACTTAGCAGCCAAGGGAAGAAAGAAATATTCTTGCCCCCCAGATCTCTAGGGCTTTCATTCAACTAAGAAATCAGACAATGCCATCTGCTTACCTAGGAAGGAGATATACAAGTGAACCTCCAGCAGAATGAACATGGGTTTATGGTTGTGAATAAGCTGGGAATATCATATAATATATAATGGATGCTCTTTATATATGGAACCAAGGATAAAATTCCTTTCTTGTATTTATTTCCCAACATGGTAATAAACCACCCCAGGTTATAATAATTGCTTTGTTCATTGTGGCAAAGCGATTATGCTGTTCATCTGTGAAAACCAAATACCAAGAATAATGTAGAGTTTTGTTTTAAATGGTCACCCTCTTAATTTTGCCATTCTTTTACCCTCTATTTTAGGTCCCTTTCATGAAAATCAGAATTTTGCTTACATCCTAGTCTCTTACCTTTACCTTCCTTACTGCAGTCTCAATGTTATCTTCTGCTTTGTTGCATTTTACTGTGATGGCTCACGCAAAATACTAGTATTCAGGTTTGTATACAGGATTGTGCTGTTAGCTATTGTTCAATTGTTCAGCTGGCTCCTATCAACTGATGGTGCTGCTGCTTTCATTGCTATATTTTATAGTGTTGCTTTATAGTTTTAATTGTAGGCTATGTGGGAGGATGATGTTGAAAACTAGCTAAATAAATATTTTTTTAGTAGAGGACTTAAAATTACATGCTCAGTTACTTTACACTCGCAGCAGCAAAAATTAGGTTGAACTTTATTATGGACAATGTAATATAAAGCTTATGGATATTCTGTGCAATTTTATTATGCAGTTATTCAACTTACATCATAATGGGCTGTATGGCTGAACAATAAATGAATCTATGAAAATTTAATGGCCTGCATACTCTGCAGATTTACACACATTCATGGTCATCCTCATCCCTCCATTCCCCTCCACCATCTGATAATCCTACAGATTAGAAACACCCCTATAATCAGACTAGAAGATATTCATCATGTGCAACTCCCCACCAACGCAGAGAAGCCCACTCTGATTCTGCATGTTTTAAAAAAAGCCAGAATAATTAAAGTATTTTAGACTTAGAAGGGAGATGCATCACAAGTAAACATTCTCCATTCTCCAATGGACTGTTGTTAGAAGCATTGGTTTTTTTTTCATACCAGTTTTTTATACCAGCAAATTGGCACAACAACATATCTGTGTGGCCAGTTCGACCATTTATTGAAAAAAGTATAGTTAGTCCATAATTTGCATGCTTTCCACTCCTTATCACACCAGCAATAGCATAACATTTACATAAATCATGCAGATCTTCGTCTGAGAAGGAGGAAAGCATTTCTGCTTATCTGAAAAGTAATTTGGCTCTATAGGGGTCCCCATTTCTTCTTTTCCTGCTACTTTGCACCGTTGTTTATAAAATATTTTCTACGAGAGAAAGAGGAGAATGGAAAATTTGCATGGCATTCTCTTGCATGATGTTACTGTGGAAATCAAAGGAATATTGTAGAAACGAAAACTTTGAAGAAGAAATGGCTATGACCGATGTTGGCACTGTTTTTTGGCCAATTCCAAAAGGGTGAGTCCTGGTCTGCTCATACCGATTTATTTGTAGTTGTAGCATATAAATGAGTTATCTTTTGAAACCAAGGAATGCCCTAAGAACTCCTCCTTTGACAAATAGTTGTGATCTGTCACCCAACTTTTCAGTGTTATTTTACCTTGATATCTCAGCATCATACTTTCTACAGAGACCTTGAAAAAAATAGTGAAATGATACCTGCCAACTGTATACTATTACTCTACTGGGAGGGATATGATCACAGATACAGAGTTCAAAGGGATTAAAAGATTATCTTGTTGAGTCCTCTGCTATGAAACAAGTTATTAACCTGCAAGCACCCTGCAAACCCACCCATACCAATGCAGGCTACAGGACTGAGGAAAGGCACTTTGCAAACTATTATTAGAAATGAACTAACCTCAAAAGAACAAGCAATCAAATTAAGCCATGTACTCCAGAAAAGGATAACAAATATTTCTACATATCATTTTTGACTGACAAATACTTTAAAGTCTATGGCCAGTATCATTTTGAGAATCTCCAGACATGCACAGGAAATCCTGCTCCCTTCTCCATACTTTCCTTTGCATAATCAATCATATGACTAGTCATGCACCTTATTTCCTGATCAGTGTGTGATCAGTCATATAAAAACAGCCCACTACCAGGGGTGAAGGAGGAACCACCCGTACAACTGCCCTTCTGCTCTATCCTTCCTCAAAAGGATTTCAGTCCATGACCTGAACTTTACATGTCAAACCCATATTTTGATGCATTCGCAAAGTCTTTCATGGCCAGGATCTAAAGGTTGTTGTGGGTTTTTCAGGCTCTTTGGCCGTGTTCTGAACGTTGTTCTTCCCAATGTTTCGCCAGTCTCTGTGGCTGGCATCTTCAGAGTGCTGTCCTCTGAATGTTCTAAATGCTCTGTCCGCATCTCACTATAAATCAAAATGATGTCTATATAAGCCCCAGCCAATTGTTGTACTGGTTCTAATACCCGATCCATGAGCCTTTGAAAGGTAGCATATTTTGTTAAACTTAGAGCCCTGCTCAGTACCCAGTGTGGTACAGTGGATAGAGTGAAGGACTAGGACTCTGGAGACCACTGTCTGAACAAACAATGAACAAATACTGTCCCACTTGGCCATGGACACTCACTGGGGGAGTGGAATTGGTAAAACCACTCCTTAAATATGTCACCTATTAGGGTCACTGCAAGTTGGTTCTGACTTGATAGCATATAACTAGAGCTCTGCTCAAGCATATTACATGGAGAGGTGACAACAGCTGAACACAACAGCTAATGTCCAATTTTATAACCTCTGGAGTCTCCAAAAGCCTTGCCACTCCTCCATAAAATGTCCACTAAGAGGAGAACAACACGTTGAAGCCCAAAGGAAGAACTATTCTCCTTCAAAACAGGCCTCCAAACACATCTTGTTGAATGAATGAATGAATGACTTACACTATGATCTCTTAGGTAATCAAAATTTCTTAAGAAATTTGGCACTTCTTGTTCATTTCTTGTGGAACACAGGTGGTGGGTCCCAGAGGTTCAGTGGAGTTTACCTTTGGATCTACAGAAAATATCTACCCCTGCTCTAAATTCACACCTCTAAAGAGATGCAGGAGCATAAAAAACAGTCTGCTGATAAATTCAAGACTGTGTCAGTCCCTCAACAGAGCTAGTCAAACATCAATCAATTATCCATACCTATAGCAAGGAGCTGATCTTTCCACATTGACGAAACCAAAGTGTCCATGTTTGCCTCCCAACCGAGTACCCCTCCGATGCTTATATTCACAGCAAGAGCTTAACCGGTCCACCTGTATTCCATTGAGGTAAAATGTGAGGCTGAAGGGAAAGCCGTAATGCCTTCTGGAGACAAACTGAAAAGTTTCTGCGAGTGGGGCGGGGGTGGGGAGGAGGAGCAGAAGGAAGAGAAGAAGAAGGAAAAGGAGAAGATTTGGAATTTAACTCCATTTCAAATATACAAGTATATATATATATATATCTTGGAACTTTGAAAGCTGTCCCACATCAGAGCTATTCTCTGTGTGTGGCAAGTTAGCACTTCTGGTTGAAAGTTAGGCTAAAATCCTTCCTGATGAGCTGTGAAAAGTGCAGAAGATTTCAAACATTCAAGGTTGAAACGTGCAGTTTGAAATTACACAATTTTGACCCGTCTCACAAGGTGTTCCTGCATGTTTCACCTGGCAATAAGACACAAGTCATAGGCTTAATCATCTGCTGTGTTGAACAGAACAACAGAAAGTCTGCAGAGCAAATAATAGTCATTATAAGATTCTTTTGATCCTGAAGGAAGAATAGGTTTTTACAGCTTTAGGGTTGTCTGGTCGGCTGTGTTTCATCATCTCAGACTTCAGGGCCAAACTTGAGCTCATGACCCTTGTGATATCACAGAAGTACAGCAGCCAATGATTGGCAGGAGAACGCCTCGCCCCTGCCCCCCCCCCGACATTGGGCTATTCTTGCTAGGGTTTATGCAACAAAACAGTTTCCAAGTTGTGATGTTGCTGTTCCACTTGTTTCTTTTCAAATGACATAATGGCCTTAATATCAATATGCCAAGGGAGCCAAGAGAAGGGGACTAGTCTGAGAGCCAGTGAGTGCATGCACTTTGGCCCACGCCACCCGCAGTAACACACACACACACACACACACACACACACACACACACACACACACACACACACATCCTTAAAATTAAAAAAAATCTTCATATTGAGCCAATGATCCTGGGGCTGTGTGAAGATGGGTTCCCAGGCTTTAAAGCTACTTCACATAGACAAATCAAATGTATCCTCCTTGTAGTGATACTTGTTTTTTTTCCCTCCTCATACAAGACCCAAAGAAGCACAGCAATTCCCTGAGATTTTAACCTGTGCCCTGAGATCTGTATACCCTCAGCTTCTGAGTTCATGTGTGTAGTGGCCCAGGAGAAAAGCTTCCAGATTATGATTCCATGCTTTTGAAACCCTCTCCTCAAGAAGACTCATTTGAGCCTATGTTGCTGACCTTGTGATGCCAAGCAAAGCTTTCCTAATTTTAATTCCCTGGAGATCTGAACATTCATAGCCTTCCAGTCACTGCCATTCAAAGTGTTGCTTGCCATCCTTTTGCTTTCATTTATTTTAAAAACTTATAGCCTAGGTATTAGCTTAAATGGTCATTTTAGGAAGCAAAGAGATAAATGCAATATACTAAAAGAATGTATTCTTGAAGGCTTTCACGGTCAGGATCTGATGGTAGTTGTAGGTTTTTCAGGCTGTTTGGCCATGTTCTGAAGGTTTTTCTTCCTAACATTCCACCAGTCTCTGTGGCCGGCATCTTCAGAGGAGAGGAGTTAGAACTCTGTTTGTATTCTGGTTTAGTGTAGTTGAGTATTTGTAGCTGTGGGATCAGCTTTTTGTCCTTTTCAGGAAATTGGGTGATTATGGTGATCAGGGTGTTTTTTGTTATGGGTCTATTGTTGTGATAAAAGGGGGGTGATCTGTCACCAGTGATCACTTCACACAAAAGACTAGCTAAGGACACCCATCAATCACAGTGACAGATCACCCCCCCCCTTATCACAACAATACACCCATAAAAAACACCCTGATCATCCAATTTCCTGAAAAGGATAAAAAGCTGATCACCAGAACACAGCCACAGAGACGTTAGGAAGAAAAACCTTTAGAACATGGCCAAAGAGCCTGAAAATCCTATAACAACCATACTAAAAGAATCATGAAAAATACAAGTTAATAAACAGCAATTATAGTTCATCAGAAAAAAACCCCGCTAAGTATTCTGAATGATCTATCAGTTCATCTGCCATTCATCTTGCTTTTTTTTACTGCTTGATTCACAGTTTTATTTTTGTCCTTAGTCAGTGTGAGAACACTGAGTACTTAAGACTATTGGACAGAAGTTTAAGGAATAGAGTATGTGTAGGAAGTGGAACCAAACTCTGAAAGTCTGAGAACCAAACTTAGCATTTTCTTAAAAAGCAGGGCATTTTTTGTTGTCTGCCTGGCATTCAACTGATCCTGGTAGCCCATAATTAATTTTGTTTTATTGTGAGGATAAATAACAACTGTAACTTTTTTTTGCTTTACAAAAATCTCCAATCTATCTAATTTTCTTAGCAATGGCCATGGGTTCTCTTAGGGTTTTGTGGGGGTTTTTTAAAGCAGAAATTCATCCAGGTAGCTGCTACATCCTGTTAATAAGTTTTCATGCCCAAAACCCTTTTCCTCATTTTAAAACTGTTAGATAGCTGTCACTTTTCCCATCATATCACATCTAGGCAATTGTAGTTGTCACCTAACAGAACTTCTGTCTTAAAGAAAAACCAGAGGAGATGCCATCCACGCAATTAGCAATTATAGAAATAGATTTTTATGTGAATGGAAGTGCAGATACCGATTCATAGGTCAATCCAGGAGCGAGCCACAAGAGTCAAGGGACTCTAATTATCCTGCTGTTTGCAATGGAATAAATTCTCCTGCCAGTGGAACTTTTTGCAGCAGTACAAATGCAAGACAGAGCCAAAGCCAGACCAGATCTGTAGCAGGGGGGCCAAACCATTCTTCCTCCTATGGCAGAAGAAATCAAGGTTCTCTTGTCTGTTATTTCCTAACTGCATGAATGATGCCTCATCTAGTTTGGCCTTACTCTATCTTCCAAATATCTCCGAAGGGTTGTTCTGTATTGTGGTGACTCTGCATCTGACTCTGTATCAACCCTTTTGTCCTTACTCCTTACTCCTAATCCCAATTTACATCTCCCTCTGTTCAACATAAGTTCATTTGCTTATCTATTGCTTTGCCTTTATTTATTTATTTATTTATTTATTTATTTATTTATTCGATTCGATTCGATTCGATTTGATCTGATTTGATTTGTATCCCGCCCATCTGGTCTATGCAACCATTCTAGGTGGCTTCCAATATGCCTTCTGCTATACTGCTCTGTATGTATGGAACAACTTTCCATTTTGCTGTAGGCACATCACTTCACTACTTCCCCCAAGCCCCATTTCCTGAGCATAGGATTCACAGGTATCTAGCTTCCTGCTAGCTGTGTGTCACCAGCAAATGAATCTCATCCACCCTTACCTGCATTAATCCCTGACATTTTCCTTTTTTGCTGCTAACCCAGATTTAAGGCCTTTGGGCACAGGCTACGTTATGATTCCATTCTCTACAGTGCTGAGTGCAGTGACAAATGAAATAAACTGTAACTAATAATAGAATAGATACCCATCCTCAGTAATAGCCCAGTATCATGGAATGTGACTAATTCTACCCAGAATGCTATTCTTCCCTTGTTTCCAATAACTATTATACTAGGAACACCTCTGCTTCAGTCAACACTGGCACCACTGATTCACATTCAGGATCAAATCTCAAGTAGGTATTCATTTCCCTTCTGCTGCAATAAGTGGCTCACACAGATAGATTATAGTTTCTTGTATGCAGATAATTTGGAATTCATTTTACTCCTGCAAGCATTTTATTAACCATACATCTCCATCTAAAAATTAATCTAACCCGCTGTATTCTGTTAAATCACACCAGTACATCCCTTCTTCCATAATTTGCAAAAGTAATTGCAGCCTCATTTTCAATCATGAAACAGTAAATCTAGACTTAGTTTGAGACAGCTGGTATATAAGTCCCCTGACACCCATAACAAGACAGAGCTTCATAGAAATAATTTTGTTACCACTTCAACAGTTTATGTGTATAAAATAAGATTGCCAGAATTAAAATGAACTCTTGGTCTTTTCCATGCTCACCTCCCTCCAGCAGTTTGCCTCTGAACACACAAAGATTTTCTCCTCCACAGTGTTGCTGATATACTTTTACTTCCTCTCGGTAATCTAAAAGGTCATAGGATAGGTGCACAGTTTTTCCCAAGTAGATCATGGTAACGCATGCATTGCTTTGTACTTGAGGCCTGTAGAATCTCCCCGAGTCCTGTATCAAAGAGCACAATACTCCACTTAAACAGCTGTACTTTTGCATAGCAAAGGTTTGGTTCCACGTTCTGTTCTTCCAAGATAGTTTTGTGCTGTCGGCATCAATCATGCATAGAATATATGACAAGATGAGAAATAATGGGTGACTTTGCATGAGCAATTTCTTTGCTAAACTCAAAAATAATAGCCTACACTCTTCCCAATAGATTGTTAAGACATTCCTACACAGTGGACAGCGTCCACTAATTAGAACCACACAGAAATACAATAAAAATGCTTTCTAGAACAGTACATGTGCAACACCTTCGGATGATACTATTACTCTGGGAAGACTGTGTATAGTTCTCATAAATATAGCCTGTTTAAAAAAAAAAAGTAAGAATGCTGAAGAAAATCCCCACCAAAATTATCACAATGGTAGAGCAACTCCTCTACAAGAAATGGTTAGAACCTGTGGAGCTTTTAAGCTCTTTTTTTGGTGGGGGGGGGGAGACAAATAAAAGAGGGCATGATGGGAGTTTATAAAATTAAGCATGGTGTGGAGAAAGTGAGAAAGGAACTATTTTTTTAATTTTAATTTTTATTTTATTTTATTTTTCTTCATCATACTGGAATCTGAAATCAATTAATAAAGCCAAATGGCAAGAGCTTCAGGACTAAGATGAAACTAATGTTCTTGTCCTTCACCAAAAAAAGTCTCAATACATCAAGACAGCCTGCTCAAAATATTGTCAGCTACTATGAGCTTTTCAGCTCAAGCAAAAGAAGGAGTGCTCTTTTTCTGTCATAAAAAACACTGACAAACACATGTAGGGTCTTGCATTAAAATTTGTATTTTGTGTAAAAAAAATGAGAAGTTTCTAGCACAAAATGGAAAGCTTTGTGTACAACATCCACTTCTGCAACATTTTGCTGCCCCCCCAACTCCTGAAATGTGAAAAATACATAGACTTTGGTAATCCTGCTCAAGAAAACACATTAAAGTTTACATCCCTACTCATAACAAATAAACAGAATTATTTCTTCCACAGCACGAAGTCATTACCTAAATTGTTATCAGAAATGCCAAAAGGGCTGCCATCTCATGTAGCTTTAAAGGAGGATTAGTCAAATTCATGGAAAAATCCGCAACTGCCTACCAGTCATGAGGGTTACATCTCATCTCAATGGACTCAACGGCCTTATAGGCTCCTTCCAACTCTACTATTCTATGATTCTCTGCCCCTGAATACCATTTGCTGGGTAACCAGAATGAGTGTGTTATTGTCCACATGTGCTATTTTTAGGCTTCCACAGATAGCTTGCTAGCTGCCTTGGGAAGTAGGATGCTGGACTGGATAGGCCAACATCTCATCCACAATATTTTTATGTTATTATGCAAAAGGTCCTAGGTTTGAATCAAGACAAAATGCAATTTGGGCTGGGAGAAGTCTAGTCAGAAACACTAGTAAGCCACTTCTAGTTAATTTAAAAAAACAACAACACTAAGTGAAATGATCTAATTGCCCAACTTGTTATAAAACTTCTGTATTTTTCTATTTAACTACAATGCAATGAAATTGAGGAGAAATTCAGTTTGCCTGCATTTTGTTTCTTTAAATCTATAATCCTCAACTATGGATTAGATGGTGTTACCCAAGCCACATTTGAATCTTTAAGCATAAAATCTGCACAAAGAGGCCAACAAGTTGAAATGTTTCCTGATACAGGTCATTAAGCATTCGCCTGGGGGAGAGGGAGCCTTAAACTGAATCAAAGCGGAGCAGGAATTACAAATAGGTTTACAAGGAATGCTCTGATCCTTGTGCAGTTACTACATTTATAGGTCCTGATGCTACACAAAGTGTAGCATGATAAACTGGGGACAAATTTAGCTGTGGACAAATAATATGCCTACAGCATGTACTGCTCTGAGTTATTCGCTTAAAGAGAAAACAGATATATTATTCTGCCTAATGTGAAACAAACTTTAGAACAGCAGTGTGTTGCTATTTAATTGTGCTTTCAGCACCCTGCCATTAACTATTTACATATATATTCTCCAACTGGTAAGCTACTTGGAAAGGTCAGTCATTTTTCTCATTTTAGAAATATATCAGAACCAACTTATATATTACAGATTACTTGACAGTGGAAGAAGGTATTCCTTAACTTCTGGAAGCATGTGATTATTATTTCAAATGCTTTCCCCACTTCACACAATCTTCAAATTAGCTTTTTGTTTGTGAAACAAAACAAAAACAAAACATATATCAGAAGCTCATCGTGGGCTTTGTTTGCAAGTCTGATTTTTCAGATACAAACATTAGCCTAAATGTCAATTCTGGAATGCTAATATGATTTCAGCTCTAGTGACACACTATTTGAAACACATAGACTGAAGGAGCTACTTGAAGTAGCAATACATTTCAATCTAACAAGAAAGAAGTCCAGTTTCCATGACTCAACTTCCAGATAACCACACCTGGATGACTGAGAATCTTCACATATATCTGAAACACATAGTCAGTCAGTCAGTCAGTCAGTCAGTCAGTCAGTCTGTCTGTCTGTTTATTTATTTATTTATTTATTTATTTATTTATTTGATTGATTGATTGATTGATTGATTGATTGATTGATTGATTGATTGATTGATTGATTGATATCCTGCCCATCTGGTCAAGTAGATCACTCTGGTCAAGTAGACCACTCAATATCGTCCCTAAAGTTTGCTTAAGGAGAAAATTAGTGAAGAAAACCAAGGCTGAATATAGCTAGTAAATTAGGTGGAGCTCACTGCTCGTTCAAAAAGGTAGGGCTGAAAATTAGTCAATTATAAGGGTAAGAATCAATCCTCTGTGTAAAGGAAATGTACCACATGGCTATGGTGATAATGCTAATGCCGGACTATATTTTGGAGACAGAAAGAACAACTCCTCAACATTCACGCCCTTGTTCTCAGATCTCATTGAGAAATATCAGTGGGAACTATACAGACTGAAGAACAAATCCTCTTTCTGATGCATGAGAGCTAATCTATGAAAACACGTATCTCAGGAGCCTCAGCTAGGCATCTTCTAGAGAATTCCTACCTATACCCAATGCAGGCTGATGGTGGAGGACAGGTGAGCAACAGGAAGCTTTTAATAAAGCTTGCCATATTTCAGCACTTCTCATGTACATAGTGCATTATAAGACCGACCATGTAGGACAAAATGAAAGCAATCAGAAAGATAATGGTACGGCAAAGATTAGTTACCCTTATTAACAATTGCTCCAAGCCATTTGGTGCAGTTGTAGGGCGGAGCCGTCGACCTCTTGATGTTACACCTTTCCCTGTACTGATGTTCTTCTCACTTTTCGGTGGTGGTGGAATTGGTATCACATAATTGTTAATGATGGGAAATCGATATGGGGATACTCCAGATGAATAATCTATTGAAAGCATGGGCTTTGGTGCCCCTCTGTCTCCCTGAAATATATAACAATAGTTAGTAATCATGTTAGTTAACAATTATGTTATTTTAAGCAGTTAATACTCTTTGGGGTTAGAAGTTTCCAATAATGTTTCATAAATGGGAGGAGAGACAGGGCGCTTCTTTCTTTTTTTAAAAAAAAAAATTAAATCCATTTCTTTATTTCTGGTTTGCAGTACAGATTCTCAACTAGCACAGATACTTTTCACTTTAACACAATTTACCTAACCTTTTAATTCACAAACAAGACTCTTAACAAGTGACTAAAGGATGGGCCATCAGGGGAACAAGATTAATAAACTAAATGAGTGATGGTCTGAATAAAAGCAGATATATATGTGGTCTTTATCCCAGGGCAGGTGTCACTACCTGATACTTAGCACCAGCTACTAAAATCTACTACTGATCCCTACTCACGGTTCCCCTTTAATATTTTTCTAGACCAGCATTTAAAGCAGCACCAAGCACATGGAACTCACTGCCATTTTAATTTCACACAACATTCACAACATACTGTTGCTCTAAGGCAGTGATTCCCAACCTTGGGCAACCACATTTTATAGACATAGCAGCCATTCGTGCTTTACAGTGTTTTCTGAAAGAAAGATGATATCATGTTTCTATACTCAGAAAAAAAACCCTACCATAAGAGGGAACCAAAAGAGAAAATAATACATGAACTGTTACTTACAGGTCCTAGCTGAGACTACTGATATGTACTATCAGTGATTTGCTGCCCAGTTTGAAAAATAATAGTTCTGTCTCACAGGTTTTAGATGGCAGGCCTGCGCCTATTTTCACACAACTTTAAGCAACTATTGACACATAACAGATCACATGACAGAGATAGAAACAAGACCCCAGCTACCAACCTAGATACCAACTGCGTCTTCTGGCAATTACATATTCCAATGAGATTAAGCTATAACATCAGAGCTCATTTACTTGTTTGTTTTCTCTGCATTCCATATAGGAAAAAAAGAATAATCCCTCTACAAGAAAATAAATGGACACATATCTGTCTATTTGGCAACATGCAAAAGCTACTTCCAGAATATTTCAACCAACAAGATACTCTTCTGCTGATATCAAAGCTGCTAGACTAGGATTTGAGAGGGAGTGGACTATATTCATATATCTAGAAATCTACTGAGCATCTAGAGCAGTGGTTCCCAACCTTGAGTAACCCAAATGTTTTTGGACTAGAATTCCCAGAAATTCTGGCCAGCACAGTTATTGGTGAAATCTTCTGGGAGTCTTAGCTCAAGAACATCTGGGGACCTAACATCGGGAAACACTTACCTAGAGTGGTGATTCTCAAACTGGGATCCCCAAATGCTCTTGCACTATAATTTCCAGAAGCCTTCGCCACTGGCTGTGTTGGCCAGGATTCCTGGAAGTTGCATCCAAGAACATCTGGGGGCCCAAGTTTGAGAACCACTGATCTAGAGGCTTAGAGAGCAAGACTTTTTAGCACACACATATTTTAATAAGCTGTTCTTCAATAGAGCCTAAAAGTTGTCTTCTTGGTAAAACTGTGGCCTGAACATAGCCAACATTTTCCAGAGAACAGAACTCACTGCTCTAGCACTTCAAGGATTAAAGCCTAATCATCATGGAATAGCCAGCCGATGTTTTATATTTGCTAATTACTCTACTATTGTCAGGATGTTTTTGTAGGCAATACTCAGAAGATCATTATCAGTGTTAATAATACGATTGCCACCCTCTTCATCATTTTCCCGTTTTGCTTTTTCTCCACCATACACACCAGTCACAACTGGTGCTTAGCACAGTCAGTCACAACTAGAGTAGGCCCATTGAATCAGTAGGGATATGGTGAGTCAACACCTTTAGAAGATCCATCAATTCAGTGGGCCTACTCTAATTGCAATTCACTACACTCAGCTACTATGTAGTTATATCTGTGGCCTCAACACCGTACTCTGTATGAAAAAGTAGACTGTAATCAACAAAAGCTCATATTGAGATAAATCTGTTAATCATGCCATGAGCCTTTTAAAAACCATTTTTGTCACACATATTATAACAGAGTTTATAACAGGAGTTAAAAACTCCTTGAAGTGTGTTGTGCCCACCTCAGTTCTACTTATTACAGTTTGGGAAAGAATTCTTGCATTGAGCCTCTGCTATATTGCTCTAGCTGAATTTAGGGAAAGGAGTTTTCTTTGTGCATATGGCTTGACCTACAGTGGACCCTCTACTTACAGAATTAATCCGTATTGGAACGGTGGCTGCAAGTCGAAAAGTCTGTAGGTCGAATCTCCATTGACCTACAATGCATTGAAAACCAATTAATCCCATAACTGGCAGTTTTTATTCTATTTTTGTTCCATTTTGGTTTTTTTCTGGTCTGTAAGTCGATTCTCCGGCTGCAAGTCGAATCTAAATTTTGCGGCCAGAGAAGTCTGTAACTCGAAAAGTCTGTAAGTCGAGCCGTCTGTAAGTTGAGCGTCCACTGTATTATTAGGCAGCATAAGGCAAGCCTCCTCTAGTTGGCGGATGTTGTGGGGCCATGTCTGTCTCTCAAGAGCTCTTTGCTGGCAAGCAAACCTGTATTATTCTATCAAAACACCCTGCTGCCTTCGGGTGTGGTCAAGGATTATATTCCATGGCTAACATGCTACAGGAGATCCAACAGTGTAGGGGAGGGACTACAATATTGTCTTTCACTTCAAAGATCAAAAGATAATGGGCCAGATGTGTTTATGCACTAGCCCAGCCAATGGACACTGATAATTTCATTTCGTCTTCCAAAGAATGCTTGGATAAAAGAGCAAAGTCTAACCGCGCAGGGAAATTGATGTTCTTTTTCAAAGGTGAGGAACTTTGTTCTGGAACTCAAAGTAGCCTTCGATGCAGATTCTGTGGTGATGTTGCCAAAAAGTGGCTGCAGTCGGACTGGATGCTGTATGTTGCCTGGTGCAGTGTTCGGTCGAGGACAGGTGGCCTAGACAATTTTTAAAAAGGGGGGGGGGGAGACATTTCAGAGCCAACAGCCTGTGTATTTATAATATCTATATTGTATCTCTCGGCATGACTTAAGACCTTTTGTTTCCAGTTGTGTAGGCCAAGGCCCTAAATACAATAATTAAATAAAAGGGGGAACAATTACTCTCAGGACAAGATTCAGTGTATCCTATGACAATTTCCCAGTTCTAATGATGAAACTCAGATGTATGCAGTATTGAGAAATTATACACACAAAATAAAGGATAACGTTTGTATAAGATACAATGCTTGTGAAACAGAACGGAGAAAAATATCCTGAGATCATTATTTATTTCTTTACTAGATGAAGTTTAAAAGTGAAATGTAAAAGAAGAAAAATAATTAAAAGGAAGGAAAAGAGAAACACGTATTTAAAATAATTTTTAGCTTCTGTGGGAGGGAAGACAATGCACGTCTTGAAAGGAGAAAGGTTGGAATTAGACTGGCAATGGGGATTGTTCTATCCATTAGTGGCTAAAGGAAAAAGAAAAAGAAGAGAAAGATAGAGAGAAAAAGGAAGAGGTCAACCCATTATAGGATGTCATAGGATGTCCTTATCTGCTGCAAGAAAATACTGCTATTACATTGCTACAGCTCAGTATTCTCTTTTTACCTTACACCTACAACCCTATAAACCTGGAATGGGCAACAGTCAACCATATGTGGGACTCCATGGTTGTTCTTCTGAAACTGGAGCCTCTACATCTTGGTGACAAGGTAGGTTTTAAAAATAAACTTTTTCTGCTAAGATAAGGTGTACAAGGAAGGAGTAACTGTACTTCAGAGGGGAACTACTAGAAACCGCTAGGAAACATGATTATTCTTTGACAGAGATGAGTGCAAACCGATGGTTTGGCACAGTTCATTAACCAGCTGCACAGCTGATCTGTGGTTTGGTACCATCCCCTCTGGCAGGCACGCACTCAGAGGCAGCACCCTGACTTCCCTGCCCTGCTTCCTTCGGGCACTACCTCTGAGTGCCTGCCAGAGGGGGCAGGATGCAAAACCGAAGATCAGTTGTGCAGCTGGTATATGAACTGCAACAAACCACCCATTTGTGCCCATCTGTGTTTCCCCAAATATACTGTTTTATCAAGACAATGTGATTCTGAAAAATAGCAAGGGGAGAGCGAAAAAACACTTCTGATAGACACTGCACACTGATTTTGGCATAGCCCAGCCTCAACCCTGTGAAGGGAAGACTTATAACAGGGACTGGTGGCTTCTGTGAGATCAAATTAGATTGTTCAGCCTCACTACACACACTAACGTGGGAGCAAACCCAGCTAAGCCCAATGGCCTTGGGGATGATGAAAGATGTGGTCCAATATATCTGAAGAACCATTGGTTGGGGAAGGCTGAGCTGCAGTCTTTCAGCAAGTGAAGGCTCTAATTGAAATCCCCATTTCACATCAAGCTTCAGAATGCCTTAGGCAAGTCACAGTCTTTCAGCCTGATCCACCTTGCTGAGCTGTTGTGAGGACAAAATTAAATAGCTACATGCTGCTGCCTTGAAGTCCTTGGATCAAAGACAGCACACAATGTGACTAATAAAGAACTATGATCTTCTCCTAATGCAGCAGATTTGAAAGCCTTCATTTTTATTCCAGTTTGAATACAGTTGCAGCCTGTGGTGAGACAACTAGCAAGCTACACTTAAAGCAAAGCTGTATGCAATCTTTGTTGATTTAGAGGTTCCATTATACACTCACTGAATGAACTGACTGTCCTCTGTTGCCTAATTTGCGACGCCCAAAGCGATTCCTTGGGGCAGTGGATGGATGTGGGGAAAGCTGGTGATATGTCTCTTCTGTTGCCTTTCTTGACCGCTCCACCTACATGAAGAGAGCATTGAGACACCTTATCAGACCATAGACTTAGGACATTTTTAACAGACGTGATCCTTTAAGAGGTGAAAAACATCAGTTTGTTATAGTACACGATTTTCCTCATTGAGGCACGTTGCATTTAGCATGCACTTTTTTGTGACTGTTAACTAGAAGTAGAACACAGGTTATATTTGCAAATCCTTATTTGTTAAAGCATGTGTCTCAGAGAAAATCCCATTAAAGGATGGAATATTGTTTGAATGCACTGAATATGCCTTCATTTTAACTCTAAGATGCCTCAGAAAATTGTATTGTAAGGAAATGAACAGGCTTTGAGAAAATAAGACTGGGGGAGATACAATAGCAGTTTTCAAATATGTATTCACAAAGGCTTTCATGGCCAGGATCTAATGGTTGTTGTGGGTTCTTCAGGCTCTTTGGCCATGTTCTGAAGATTGTTCTTCCTAACGTTTCGCCAGTCTCTGTGGCCGGCATCTTCAGAGGACAGTACTCAGCCGGCCACAGAGACTGGCGAAATGTTAGGAAGAACAACCTTCAGAACATGGCCAAAGAGCCCGAAAAACCCACAACAACCAGTTTTCAAATATTTGAAAGGTAGTGATACAGAGGAGCAGCTGGAGCTGTTCTCGATCATCCCAGAGTTCAGGACACAGTAATGTGGTCAAGTTACAGAAAGCCAGATTTAGGCTGAATGTCAGGAAAAACTTAACTGCCAAAGCAGTACAACAATGGAACCAGTTACCATGGGAGGTGGTGGCTGGAGGTATTCAAGAGAAACTTGGACAACTATCTGTCAGATCTGTTTTGATGTGGATTCTTGCACTGAGCAGGAGCTTGGACTCAATGGCCTTATACGACTCTTCCAACTCATTAATTCTATGGTCTCATCCTTTCTCTAAATCTGCTGTTTTTAGAAACCACAGAACCAAGAGTAGCAACTTAATCTTGAGATGTCAGTAAATATATTTTTACTTTTGCATAGATCTGCTTATAACTGGCCACAGATATAATTATGCAGTATGTAACAACCGAAGTAGAGAAATCTACATTAACAAGGGAGGGATGCCTAGTGATGACCAATGCAAGGACTATAAGTAAAAGTAACAGCTAACATAGACTGACCAAACATACACAATTCTGATTTTTTTTTTTTGATGCTCCTCGTTCTATTGCCAAGTCCGGCACAGAATTGCAGTCACAAAACAATGTTACTTGTAGCATGCAGATGCGGGCGTGGGGGCTCTACCTTGATTCTCTGAACACGCTCTCTCCTGGCAGAATTTTCCAGTTTTCTTTTTATTTCAACTTGGTGATGACGCTAGTAGAGTTTTTAAAAACAAAGAGAATATTACATTTCTAATAATACAGTGCTGTCACTTGTACAGTGTTGAACACCAAACTGTCACAACAGCTTTGTGGAATAGTCCCCATTTAGAATGGCTTCTTATACATTCTGTTATGTGCCCATGAGCCCAGTTTAGTTACCAACATCACAAAATGATTATTTATAGTACACTGTCCTACATAAGTGGTTCCCAGCCTTGGGTCCTCATTTATTTTCTTGGACTAAAACTCACAGGACCCTTCATTATCAGCTATGGTGGCCAGGATTTCTGGGAGTTGTAGTCCAAGAACATCTGGGGACCCAAGGTTGGCAATCAGTGTTGAGGATGGTTGTCTGCATCCTCTGTCACCCAAGATGCTGATTTGCATAAAATTTAATATGTTAATTTATACATATAGATGCAAAATTAGAAAATATTTTTCTAATTCAAGCAGAATTGCAATAAAGTGGAGGGAAGCACATGGTAGAGAAGTCCTCAAAATTATCTTGGTCAAACGTTGAAGTCAGGCTTATTTTTTAATTAAAAGCAGTCCTCAAATACAGTCTGCAGCTTTTTAAAATCAGGTTTCACCTTAGGAGATGCGGATTTCAAAGGTTTGCCAGTCACACATCATTTTCCCCATGGCTTTAGGCCAAAGTGCATAGCCTCTGGTGGGCTCTGGGAAAAAAGTTGAGTGATTGGTGACCCTTTGTCCACAGAGATGGATAAAGCCAGTGAAATCTACATCCATTGAGGTGACACTTTCAGTCTCAAATTGATTCTAAAATGGCTGCAGACTCCATTTTGGAACTACCTTTGAACAAGTTAGTTCCACCATCTGGCCAAAATGGTTTGGGGGATTTTTCTGTCCCCTGCCCCAACTCTGTAATGCCCAACATGATGAAGAGTCTTGTAAGACTCAAAAGCTAGCCTGTCTGTAAAATTTTAGTGGTCTTATAAAGGTATTTCCCCACCAGTTTTTTTTTTAATTTCACACATGAACTATAATGCCTTTTTCTTTTTTTACTGAGCCTATATAGGTTTTTCATTCAAAATATAAGTGTGGAGTGTAGAGACATAAAGAGGAGTGAGAGACATCACTAGTGAAAATAGCCTGGAATTGTTTGCCATTTTGGCAAAAACCCTAACCCATCCTCTCTTCTCTATAGACTTCCCCCCCCCCCCCCC